CGGAGCTCCAGAATCTGTGGCCACAACTTGGAACTGGAAAGTTTTCAGACTTTCAAAGTCAAAACTTTTGAGCGCAGTTATTTGTCCATTTTCTGAATGAATGTTAAGAAATGGCGCCATATCTCTCTGAACTCCTTCACTTTTCATAATTCTATAAGATATTGCTGCATTTTCATTTAAATCTTTATCAGTAGCACTTATAGTAAATATGCACACGCCCGCAGTATTTTTTTCCACTAAGTAAAGTTCGTAGGGATCCTTACTGAAAACTGGCTTGTTATCGTTCACATCTGACACCTGAATGCTTAAAGTTTTAACTTTAGAAAGCTGAGGCTCCCCACAGTCAGTGGCAGTAACTGTAATATCGTAATGTGACACAGTTTCTCGATCTAAACGCCCCTTTGTGACCAGAGAAAACATGTTTTCCTCAACTGATGGAGTCAAATCAAATGGAACATCTTCTGAAATTTTACAAATTACTTTACCATTAAGACCCGAATCTCTGTCTGTGACACTTATTAGTGCTGTAACAGTGCCGGGTTTTGAATCCTCTGGGATTTGGTTAGACAAGGATGTTATCTCAATGTCTGGTTCGTTATCATTCACGTCTTTTATTTTAATCACAACTCTGCTTTGGGTTGTCCATGGTGGCTGGCCTTTATCTGAAGCCTGCATATCTAGCCTGTAAAGCTCTTTCTCCTCATAATCTACTTTCCCTTTGACTCGAATTTCTCCAGTGATGCTGTCTAATTCAAAAACTTCATGCATTTTTTTCTCTTGTATTTTTCCAAAGCTGTACTCAATTTCGCCATTTGAGCCTTCATCTAAATCTGTTGCGTTTAATTTGATCACAAGAGTTCCTATTGTGACATTCTCATTCAATAACACACTATATACATCCTTGCTGAACACAGGTCGATTATCATTTACATCTAAAACATTGATGGTCAGATTAAGAGTTCCAGATTTAAATGGGGTCCCTCCATCCAAAGCAGTTAAAACTAATTGATGCTCTGCTCTCTGCTCTCTGTCCAAAGGCTTTTTTAACACTAAAAAGGGCCTTTTGTCTTCTTCATTCTCTCTGATTTCAATATTAAAATGATCATTTTGATTTAATCTATAAAATCGAACTGACTGTGCACCAACATCAGGATCTCTGGCTGCATGGATCTGGAATAGAGTGCCCGGAGGACTGTTTTCTGCTATTTCCAAACGCTGCTCGCTTTCTGGGAAGGTGGGCGAGTGGTCGTTAACGTCAGTGATTTCTACACCGACATGATGTATTTCCAGAGGATTTTCAACAACGATTTTCAGGTTTATCAGACAAACCTTTGTTCCATCGCAGAGCTCCTCGCGGTCCGCATTTTGCGCAACGGACAGCACGCCATTGTTCTGACTTAACGCGAACAGAGCGTGATGTGGGCCAGAAACAATGCGAAAACGTCTGCTTGTCAAAGTGCCGATGTCGAGACCTAAATCCTTGGCAACGTTTCCCACAGGAGATCCAAACTGGACGTGTTCAGGAATGGAGTATTTCAACTGAGCCAAAATCCGATCCATAAAGCACAGCAGCGCAAACCCGGAGAACACGCAGCAGCTCAGTGTGCGTCTTTGTCTCCGCTCTGCCATTCCGAAACAAATATCTAAAGTCTTTTTTTTAGCAAATATCACCACAAAACGGAGTATGAAACTATTACATTAGCCTAAATACTGTAAGGCACTTCCAATAAGGAGGACGTTTAATGCGTAAAAATATAGCTCTTCATCTTGTAGGGCATGAATCCTGCGATGTGTATTCCATCAGAACACGAGCTCCTCTAACATTAAAAAGGCAGGGCATGTACATAAAATAAGCCTCAAAATCATCGGCTATGTCATACTGACACCAAGTGGCAATGAGAACAAGAAACGAAATGAAAACGGAGATTTTGACTTCATGTATTACTCTGATCATTAAACGCCTTTTCTGATTAAAAATAAATAAATAAAAATATTTTCATTAAAACAAATCCGAATTAGTCAACTAGAAGCTGGAAATGTGTTTATTAAAACCACAAGCAATATGCACATTATTAATGAAAAATGAGAATATTTAACGGTTATGTAAGTGGCCTGTATTCCATGCCATTATTTTTAAGAATACAAATCTGTTATTCAAACCATATGTACACTGCTCAAAGATCAAATGTGAAAAAAGGTAAATAATAGTAAGCTTGGAATGAAAACTTTGTTCTTAAAAAAAAAAAAAAAAAAAAAAAAAAACACTATTGTCGACCCAACCAGAAATGTTCATAATACTGTTTGCGTTAGAGCAGGAATGTGTTTTAACCTCCTCTTCTGCAACATGTATGTAGAAGAAGAATATAGATTGCTTAATATCAACTGGATGAAAGAGTGACATACTTTGTGTAAAATTGTGTGAATATATTTTTACCTGTATTAAAGTATTTTTAAATTAATCAAAATACATTCCTAAGTTATAGCACAAAACAAAATAAAGCTGACAAAAAAAGACAATTTCAGCACCATGGACAACGTCTCGGTGAATAACCACTTAAAATAGCCATTTAATAAGAAATCTTCTTACCTCCTCAGATGTTTTCCTCCTGTCAGGTAAGACCAGAGTGT